TGTAGAAGGCTACATAGCTAATTTGGCAGCGATACGTAAGCCTTTACAAGCAAAATTAAAAAAGGATGTCGTTTTTACTTGGACCTCAAGTGATACAACATATGTAGAAAAAATAAAGAAAAAACTAAAAATTCTACCCACGTTATATCACCCTCAAGAAAATGATAAAATGATTTTGGAAACAGATGCCTCCGACTCTTACTGGAGCGCAGTTTTAAAAGCAAAACCAGTAAACTGTTCTGAAGAAAAATTGTGTAGATATACTTCAGGAACTTTTAAGGATGCTGAAAAGAATTACCATAGTAATGAAAAAGAATGGCTCGCAGTTTTACGGGGCATTCAAAAATTCAAAATATATCTTATCTTCAATAAGTTTTTAGTAAGAACTGATAATAAAAACTTCAGTTACTTTATTAAAAATGAATTTAAAGGAGATTATAAACAAGGCAGATTGATTAGGTGGCAATTACATCTAAAGCATTATCAATTTGATGTTGAACATATAAAAGGTGATAAAAATTATCTTGTTGATTGTCTAACAAGGGAATTTGCAGGCATTTGATAGAAGAAACAAACGCTTCAGCAAAAGATTGCAAAATCAAAAGCAAAAAGGACCAGAATGGATCTTCAAGTTGAAGAACTTAAATTAGAAATCATGCAAAAGGAGCATGAATTGGAAATTTTAAAGCAGAAATTGAAGATAGTACAATTGAAAAATCAGACAGATAAAGGAAGTCTCTCAGAGCCTGATAGTAAAAAAGAAGCTAAAACCGAATACAAAGACGCTCTGGTGAAAAATCAAAAGACCCAATCAACCTTTGTCGAGGAAGAAAGGGCACCTAACTGGTACACGGTGCACACCGGACCAAAACTTGGAGTCTATAATAGCTTCGAGAAAATAAAAGATCTGCCAGCTGAATACTATCATACGGCAAAGACTGAATTTGAAGCAAGGATGATCTTTGAAAAACTAAAGAACAAAATCAATGAGAGAGTACCAGTATTTCGTAACACTGGTATTTCTAAAGAACACCATTTGAAAAATCCATTCATAAAATTTGACGAATTTAAAATGCAGCAACTGGATAGTAAGTTAATCAAAACTACTATAACCCAGAAGGAATGGCTCACGTTATACGAAGAAGTAAACGCGAGTACAAGTGAACAAGGATACATTCCTATTAGCAGAAATCAACAGATTAAAGTTATTCTGCTACCAGGAGTTACTCCTGAAATCACAAGAGACTTGTTCTTAGGGGGATTCATTGACACTCTCTATCCAGAGAACAGTTTAAGAGAATTGTCATATTTTCCAAAAATCAAACAAGCAATTGCTTTGTACATGGAAAAATGCAGAATTCGTGAAAATAACAAATCAATCTTTGTCAAGATCTGGAGCTCAATACCAGACTGGAACGAAGAAGAACAATACCCAGCATACCACTATATTCATGTTGGGGTTTCTGGAGAAATAAAACCACCAGTACCATTGGTACAAGAAAAACCTCCATTAACAGAGGAAGAACTAAATTTGGAAAGGGCGGATAGAATTTATTTTATCTTGAAAACATTAGAAAAAATAAATTCATCAATCCAAATTAAAGTAAATTATTGCAGCCCTAATATTCTTCTGGTCAGTAATTTCAACAAAAAGATTGACAAACAAGACTTGGCCATAGTCCAAAATTGGCAAGATAATCTCATCCTCAAGATTCATGCCACAGAAGCAACAAAGCAGATGGTGCAGTCTATTGTCCTTACAGTCAATGAAGAGAAAGAAAAGCACCAAAAGAAGAAGAAGAAGGTTGCCGACACTAATGACAAGAGGGAGTCGAATAAGCAAAAAGAAAAACATGTGGAGGACCCTACCATTTTGGAAAATCCAAGCAAGCCAGCAACCACAGACCCTACCACAATAAAAGAAGGAAACGTGCCAGCTATATGAACTTTATCATGTGATAAGAGTAGTCCCTACCATTATGTAATAACGCAATAATGTAGTAGCCATGTGATTGTTGATAAGTAATCCCTACCAATTATGCAATAATGTAGCAGACAAAATCAGATGAAGATTTTCTGCTTTTGATCTTTTTCAAAGTGCGTTTGGTGAGACGGCGACATGTGTCGAACCCCAATAATTCACGCATTTCTATTTCCTATATAAGGGAGTGCCATGGGAGTATGTAAGGCATCAATCCCTCATCAGATTTCTAAGTTTTATTCCCTGTAAACATTTTCAATAAAAGTTGTTCTTAAGCCACGAGCCTTATATCACAAAAACATTAAAATTCAAACACTTAGAAGCTATTAAGCTTCAAGAAAAGATCAAATCAAAAGCTTAGGCTAAAATTCTCTGGATATTCCTGGAGACACAATCGCTCGTCGAAGTAAGACCTAGAAAGGAGGGCAGTAAGACGACTCGGAGCACAGTGTTTGGAATTTGAGGATAAAGCAGGAAGCTATGGTGGACCAATCATCTCAAGCACACTAAAAGAATTCAAAACCCAGAAGAAAGGTATGAACTCCGAACTTTTTAATAATGTTTTTAATAACATTGAAAATTGCATACAATTACCCATAAGGTTAGGAAATATAAAGAATTAAAAAGATTAGAAAATAATCTTTTAAAGTTTCTTAAACTCGAAATTTTAGAGAAACTAAAAATTCTAGAAAATGGTGTTCAACGGCAAACTATTAGAAATAATAAACAAAGATCAAAAGATAATTATTATAATGATATCATTCATCACTAGTAACTAGAGAAAAAGAGTTAGCTAAAATTATATCAAACTTAGAAAAACTCTGTATATAAAAATATATAATGCCTGCTATTTCGTGGGAGTATATTTTAGAATCAACTATTCAAAAGTTGAAAATTAAGTATCGAACTTTGATTCGAACTTGTGATAAAAATCTAATTGCTTCAGATATCGAAAGAATGGCCTATAGCCTTCGACTCGTTCAAAACGAGAATCCATTGCAACCCCAGAATTTGAGGCTTGTAAAAAATGGAGTTATCATGGCAGAGTCTCATCTTTCTCAAGAGTATTCCACATAATTTAACTTTTAAATGATGAAAGAAGAGTTTGACATTATTAGTGAAAGATTAAAAACTAGTCCCATAAGTTTAGATGCTTATGGTAATATAAGAAAAGATGAAATGGATCTACTTGAAAAAGCTAGAGAAGATCTTTTAAAAGATTTAGAAAACCTTATATATGGAATTACACTCAAGAAAAATTATTATAAAAGGCATTCTACAAGAGATAATTACTATGGAGATTGTTTTCCAGAAATAGAAGGTCAAGTTAATTATCTGAAAAGTATAAAGAAAAAATTGAAAAAACTAAGATTTAATATCTAAGAAATTCTGCAAAATCGATTATAAACTGGAAGCTAAAAGATGGAACAGCAGCAAAACAAAAATGGTATCAGAGCCTGGTAACAACAGGCGAAAATACTAAAATTATAAAACAAATGGATAAAGAAAATAATCTTTTAGATTATTGCACAAAGCACGAAAAATCAGGCTATTTAATTGAAGCCTTGATAGATGCAAATAAATTAGGAATAGCAGATCATGATTTAAAAAAGAATCATAATTTCAGAAATGAAGGATTGACAAAGAAATTAAATAATTTAATTTCTAGAAAAAATGAAATATTCTTTGGAATCATTTCTGGAGAAGAAGCAATAGATACAGATCAAACAGAAGGAAATGTAGTTATTCCTGTTATCTGTAAAGAACAAATTCTTTCTATGTTGAAAGATATAAAAACAGAAACTAGAAATAAAATCTCTTACTTACATGTTTCTACTATACAAATGATTCTTAAATCAACTTATAGTCTAGGAATAGATTCTCCTATTACAATAAGACTAATTGATAATAGAATGATTAATTATTCTGATGCTCTAATAGCTGAAGGGAGTGGAAATCTAAAATTTGGTAAAATTAAGTTTAATTTAAATTACCAAGTTGGAATGTCTTTATTTGACAATAATTTAGATGATTCTATCACTTTGTGTTGGAACATGAAAAGAAAGATAATGAAAACTGGAAATCACCCATTTTCAGTAACATGGAGAATAAACTATGCACTTACTAACAGTCATCATAGTTTGTCATTCAAACCTCATGATAAAATTGAATTTGATGAATTATTTTCACCAATATTACAACTAGAAGCACCTAGAAGGTCCTTTCAAGTACATAGAACTTCGTCTTTCGTAAGATCTAAAATAGACTACGTTATTCCTAAACAGAATAATGAGGAAAACGGCAAGTTCTTCAAAAATAGATAATTGTACTGAAGTAATCATAAAACCAAATAACAATATATATAAAATTGAACAAAAAGTTCAAGAGATAAGTAAAGAATTAGGACTTAAAATATAACAAGTTTCAATAAAAGATATATAACGAACCTACTTTCGTTATATCATAAAGAAAAACGAAAGAACATTTGTTATATAACATAAGGGTATTTTTGATCCTTCATACATCACATTTTATAGAAAAGACAAAAGGGTCACTTAAATAAATATGACCTTTGACTGGGTCATTTAAATAAACATCCCGCACTACTGGTGATTAGGGAGTTGTTCACCTTTGCACATCATTATGGTGGTTGGATTTATTACTCACTCCTAATCATAATATATGAATACATGTTGTTTGAGAAGTTGTACAATAATTAAGAATATTTATTTTGTCAATAATAACCCTCTTTAATGAAAATTAATAACATGAAACTTAAGAGTAGATATTAAAAGACGTAGTGTATTTATTAGCTAAATGAGGGTAATAGTAGAAATATATTTACAAAAGATTCAAAACGTCATTTAATTAGTTAATGGTTGATAAGTCAAAATAACATTTAAAAATAATAAGAGGTAGTATAAGATAATCTTTCCTTTTCATCTAATTTTGCCAAAAAGCACAGTACAATTATAAATTTAGCACAAAAAATGAGAGACCAAAGACTTTGAACAACACCCATTATTATTTTTCATGACAACAAAACTAGCAAACCTCACCAGGTGATAATATCAAAATGAATTCATACAAAGATATCAGGTGCTTCTTTTGTCATTATACATTCAATCTATGTAACTAAAATAATTGAATTGAGGCTCTACAATCACAGTCTGTGCTTCTTTTGTTCTACATAGTGAGAGCTTGTGGTCTTTCTTCCAAAAAGTGCCCAAAAATAAGCAAATTTTTGGGAAACCAGCAAAAAGAGTTGGCCTCCGCTTGCTCGTATTCTGTCGAGCAAGAGCAACGTGAGCTTTTTTACCATTCCTCATAGCAAGTTGTAAGTTTACATGGCTGTGCTTCCAGATACACAATCTTTTCCCCATAATCCATATTACTTTAAAAGAACAATTTACGGTAACCAGTATCTCGGTTTCTCAGCAAAGCTCAACATCATGAAAAACTACTCGTTGCTTGTTGAGGTATACTCCTCTTCTCCTCAGACGTGTGATGGTAAATTTTTAGCAATTTTTCGCCTCTCACAATCCTTAAAAAAATAAAAAAATAAAAAAAAAAAGAGAGAAAAAAAAACTATATGTTAAAGAATTGGATTCCAACAGATAAAATGACACTATAGCTACTAGAATATTTATCTTCTCAACAGTTAAACATATACCCATAAATATGGGTAATTCGAAAATTATTATTAACAAAACATCAACAGTCTTTACAGATTTGAAAGATAGTTTGGTTTTAATGTAATTAGATGAACCTTAAGGTATTGTCTGTAATTTTACACATCGTAACATACCTTGAACATATTCAGAACTGCTCGACTTCATTAAACCGAAGGTAAGAAAACAAATTCGACATTGGCGTATGAGCCCTGACAATGAAAGACCCTTTAGGTACATCTGGAAAAAGAAAAAAAAAATAAAATCTACAAATCATATGTACCCTGAAAAATGTACTAATTGATTGAACATGTAGATGTAACGATTTTAATCGATTGAGCCTCAGAAATGAAATGGAACTGTTAATCAAGGACCACATAACAAACGAAAGGAAATAAAAATAGTACAGGAAACAAAAAACAATCTCAGACATAAGTGTAATAAGGAGCCATAAAAAATACCTTCAAACTGTTAGAGAATAGCATACTTTGCTGCATTGAAACCTCGTCATAATTGGCTAGCTCGTGAGGAAACTGCATCGAGCCTCTTGAAGTCTTTGAGTTTGCTAAACAAATAGTAGCTAAAAAATACTTATCCTGTAGCAACCATTCCCACATATTGAACTCTCAATTAATGAAAAGATTTATAGACTACTTGAAAAAAAAAAATTATAGTCGTTTTTTACGTTCTTAGGACAGACTTTGAACCGAATGATTCTTTCAGGAATGACAAAGGAAAATGAACAATTGAGGTTGGATAACAAGCTTTAATAAGCCCGACAATCGAGCTCCCCAGCTGCGTGGTGATTGGTGATGCTGATGGCGATGGTAACTTGTACGGCGAACACATGGATTTTGTCAAATCAAAGCTAGTTTACACAGAGAGACACATACCTGATAAAACCAATGCTGACCAAACTCTACAAGTCCAGAAATCTTCAAGCCCACCAAAACCAAGAATGACTGCAACTATTGATGAAAGAAGAGAAAATTCTGGGTTGAATAAACTGAGCCGGAACATACATTTGTCTGCCATTGATGACCCATTCGTGACGCTCACTTGACGGCAAGAACAGTGTCCCCTTCTTTGACAATCAACATCCTTTACATCAGCACAGATAATTCATAATCACAAAACAACCAACCANTTAGCCCAAATCAGAAACTCAATTTAAAACCTACGGAGACAAACCTAACTCAAGAGCTGGTGAACTTGGTGGCGGCATCGGTTCTCTCAGAGACGGCCTGCTTGGCCAACTCCCCGGGTAGCACCAGCCTCACGGCGGTCTGGATCTCGCGAGAGGTGATGGCTGACTTTTTCTCGGCCTTGGGTGCCATCTTTTGAGAGAGAGAGAGTATATGTGTGGGGGAGTTTTACAGATATATCTAGTGAGGGATGGGGGATGGACTCTGTTCAAGAACTCTGTTGAATCAATCCCTAGCTGCAAATGTGAAATGGCAAGAAAATGAAGAACAATTTAATTAGTAAATTAAATGTTAAGGTTTGATTGATATATTTTTGTATTTGAAGGATTGTTATACAAACTAGTACATATCCCATGCGATAGCACGGAATAGAGATATTAAATGAATTATTTTCACAGATTTGTTCGTTTAAGCAATAAGTTATTATCTATGTTTCACCTCTTTTAATCAACGTTAAATCAAAATAATAATACAGTTATAGTCTATTTACCACCTCTTTTAATTAGTGTTTGTTTTTAGCCAGAACATTAAATATGAGCATGTTAGAGTTAACTTGTAAAATAATTAATATATCATCTCACTAAAACATTCATACTAATATAAATTTGATTTTAGTATATATATTTATTCATTGATATAAGAGAAAATAAAAGTTTTACTTATTCTTGTTCACCATATAATATTTAGTTATTAGTTTATTATAAACTTTGTTGTCATATAATGTCATTATTATTTATAAAAATTATAAAAGTGGTACTTCTTCTTTTTCTTTTTTATTTTAGGCAATGAAAAATATTTAATGCACGTTAGTATTGTTTATTTATGTAATCAATTTAAAATATGTAAATAAATTTAAAATTATATAGTGTATAAATATTTTACAAAATATACACACATGTTTTTTCAGAATTTAATTTTATATACTAGTTAAACAACCTTGATTTAGAAAATGCCAAAAAGTCACTCCCTTCTATATTCAAGATTTTTCTAATTTCCATTATAAGGATTTATAGTTTATTTAGCATACTCTGCAATGAAAATGTATTTTACAAGAATTCCATTTTAAGAAGAAATCAAAATAATTAAGAATTAAAAAAAAATCATGGTTGCCAATAATATACAAATAAATTCTAAAAAATAGTTAATATATTTTAATTTTAATTTTAATTTTTTACCATTAGTAAAACTATTTAATGTATCTGGTCATTATCTCTTAAATAGTAAATCATATTATTTTGAAGAATAATTTAATTTTTGTATATAACGAAATAAAGCTTAAGAAAAAATTATATTGGCAAAGATTAATTCACCAACTTGATTTCGACTGATTATTTGGAAGAAAAAATTCTACCTAACCAGTTACAATTTCTATAAATATTTTTGGATAAAAATAATATTTGTGAAAAAAAAAAATTAATATTATAGTTAGAATTTAAAATATGCTGTAATATTTATCTTGACCAAAATATTATCAAATCACGGAAAATCAATCTTGTAATTTATAATAATGGATATCAACAAAATTATTTAAGGAAATAATACTTTTGATCATATCTGATTTGATCTTATTTGAAAACGTGTATATGGAAGCAATTAATGCATATATCTAAAAAGTTTCCGAAAAAAAGTATACATTAAATGCTCCCAAAAATTTTGACTTCTATTTTTAGTATATGGTTATTCTTATTATATATAGAGAGAGAGAGAGAGAAAATATAAATGTAAGGTCTTTAAAATAAATACAGTTATCATTTATAAGTTATTTTAATTTTTAATGACATAAAGGTATTATAGGTTTTTTACAAGTACAAGGTGGTACGAGGTTGGTACGAGGCGACCAAAATTCTTTTTGCCTCGTAACAACCCGTACCTTGAATCTAATGATTGATATTGATTTTTGAGTCAATCTAATAGTAATGTAAGAGGATACCTGATGTTAGGTAGGTACGAGAGCTACATGACCGTAGACGGTCCCTCAAACATTGATCCTTAAAATACTGCAGAAAATTCCGTTTAAGTGAGCGGAGGAAGATGGCTTTGGTCAAATGAAACTCTACTCCAACATTTTCTTCTTTTTATATCCGTTGACAAAGAATTTCAGCCGTTCTATTCGGCCTTTTTTGTTTAACCTTTGATGGTGGGCTGAAAACATTTTTTATATGGGCTTTGTTTGAAATAATATTGGGCCATTAAATATTGGTTTGGCGCGGTTACTAAATTGGCTTTGTAAATTATGCAACACATTTTTCATTGGGTTAAGTACATGTTGGCGAGATTAAGTTGTGTGCTTCACATATAGACGAGCCAAAAATTTGAAGTTCCAAGTTATGTGAAAGTTGTTATCCTCAATACCACAAACGCAATCATGTTCAAAATAGGCAATGCTCCACCAGGATGTTTCTCTCTTTGTTAAGCTGCAGTGCTTGCGTAGAAGGCTCGGAGGTGGACGATCTTGACGCTTGGGAACTCAGTTGATATCAAATGATCAGTTCGGATAATCTACTATTTATGTATTTTTTTACTTCATATTTTTAAACCTCATTTATTTTTCTACGTGTCAGCATTTTTATTAATCGTGGTCAAATTGGGTATCAACAGAAGGGATAGCGTTTTTTGCATTTGCTAAATCAAAGTTGTTTAATTAGTATACAAAATTAAATTCTAAAAAAAATGTATGTATATTTTGTAAAATATTTATACACTATTTAATTTAAAATTTATTTACATATTTTAAATTGATAACATAAATAAATAATACTTACGTGCATTAAATATTTTTTATTATATAGAATAAAAAGAAAAAGCAGACGCACAACTTATATAACTTTTATAAATAATAATGACATTATATGACAACAAAGTTTATAATAAAATAATAATTAAGTATTATATGGTGAACATGAATAAGTAAAACTGTTATTTTCTCTTATATCAAGGAATAAATATGTATATTAAAATTAAATTTATATTGGTATAAATGTATTAATGAGATAACATATTACATAATTTGTGAAAATTTAACTCTGATTTTTTAAAAATAATCGGTATTATTTTTCTTAAAAATAACGGGACGTTACACCAAGCCCGAGTCTATCTATTGCACTGCACCGACCCGGCCCGATCCATTTTTTAAAAATATATTATATATATATTTTTTAAATATATTGAAAAAGCCGAATCCCTCGCCACAGACCCCGTGACCCCGTCTCTTCTCTCCATCTTCTCAAATCCAGCCAAGACCACCAGCCACCGTCCGCCTCTTCTCCGACACCGCCACACCATCTCGTCTCTACCACCATTGTCACACTGTCCCGCCTCTCCCACCAGCCACTGTCTCGCCTCTCCTCCGTCACGCCTCACCGCCTCGACGTCCCGCCTCACCCTCGCCGTTTCGACGTCCGGCCGGCTGCACTTGCAGATTTAAAAGGTAATTGTTATCTTTGAAATTGGTAGGCTTTTATCTTTGAAATTGATTTTGTAATTTCCTTTAATTTTGTATACATCAGACGTGTGTAATTTGCTTGAAATCAGGTGGACTAGCTTAGCTTTGTTACAAATTTTTATGCTTTCTGATCATGAACTCGTTCAATTGATGGTGTTNNNGTAATTTCGGCGGGCCAGGTCGCGGGGCGGCCTTCCTGGATCCGTGACGGGTCACGGGCCAGGTCGTGGCGCGGGGCAGGTTCGGGAACTGAACTACCCGGCCCGACCTGCCCCACTGGTGGAGTGGGTTTATCATATTCGGCCCACAAGACCAAATAACTATTTTTCGTTGTGTTGGGGTGATCTTAAGCAGGCCGTTTAAATTCCACATAGGCTACTCGCCAAGTTTCTGGAATCATCCCCCGAAAAGCAAAATTCTTCTGCTCTGAACAAAATACATAAACCAAACAACAATCAGGGGCAGAGTACTGCAACAGCAATGGAGCAACATTCGACCTCTGAAGTTGAACAAAGCTCTCTACAAGAAGCTTCTGTTTCTTCTTCATCAACGTCCTGTCCTTCCCCTTCGCCGGAAAATCTGATGAAGCTTTTGCGAGGAAAGACAGACTCTCAGCGCCTCGCCGGCCTTCTTCTGGTCACCAAGCTCTGTGACAAAAACGATCAGCGTACCATTCTCGACGTCTACGAGGCACTCGGTTCCACTTTCCTCCACCGCCTCTTGCTTACTGGTGTGTAAGCATTCGACTAATGATACTAATATAATCCTGCTCTATTAAATTAAATGTTTGAGAGACGATTTTTGTTATGTTATGTCAATTTCGTGCGTATTTCCATAAACAGGAATGGGGAAAGGGAGTGGTGGTTGGGGTGACAGCGCCACTCGTGAGGCCTACCTGCGCCTGTCGGTGACGGTGCTTGCTGCATTCGCTAGGGTTTCTCAGGTTGCCGCTATGGATGAGATGCTATCCAAAGTTCCCCTTATTTTGGAGGTTCTGTCCATGGAGTATGTAATTTACTACGTTGTTTCTGTTGCTTCTGTTGGTGATTTCTCATTAAAGTTGGTTTCGGTGAATTTATTGCTGAGAGCTTGAAGTCTGTTCAGCTCATGGATAAAGATTCAAACTTTTGTTACTTTTGATCATTGTGGTGCTCAACTTTGTTGCTTTGGAATTATGATATGATGCAAGCTTTGACCATGAAATACTGCAATGCAAGTTGCTTTTGTGGTTAGAGTTATGGCATCTTGAAGGAACTATACTCGATGATATTGTGATTATTTTGCCATTAAATGGACAGTGCAGTGCTGTATGAATGGAGCTTAAAGGGACTACCTTAGACATGTTAACGCGTGAATAGGATATAATATATAAGGATATTAGATATAGGCAATTGGACATCGATATATAGGTGTATGCTTGTGAGTGTAAGGACTTGGTTAGATTGTTTTAATGCAATTTGTGTGCCCCATCACTTGTGCACTTCGGCATGAACGTGATGAACAATCTTCTGGATCGTGTGACTTCCTCTTGAAGTTCACCGTGTTCCTGTTTTGGGTGTATTTTACATTTTGAAATTTGATTCTAAGCAAGTCGTAACAGAAACTATATTGTGCTGTCATATTGTAATCTTGCATTTAATTTGGGTGTTAGCTTGTCAATTTCACTTAAATTTACTTGTACCATGGATCCGCAAAGTGCACTGTTCTTATAGGTGATAAGCACTATTCTGCCTGTAATTGATGAATCTGTTTGGAATTGTAGGTCTGGTTCATCTGTCACTGACGAGTGCTATGAGTTTCTATTTTTGGTGACTGCTGCTCATGATGATGGAGTGACAACTTTATACAACTCTGGAGGCATGAACGTTTTGGCATCTCAAATGCCTTGTTTGTCAAATGGTAACTGATTACAATTTTTTTCACTATAGTACATTATTTCACAATAGATATTGGAAATATGCTAAATCACCCCTGCTTAGGCCATCTCTGATTCTCAAAAGTTAAATTGCTTTCATAGTTTCTAGAACATGTAGAAAAATGCAGTGTGGTTTATCTGCCAAATGACTGGTCATTCAGGATCTGATTTAGTGAGAACTGCAATGTACAATTTATCTGCAAAATAATTGGTCATTTAGGATCTAATTTAAATGTAATTTTTAGGTTCCCATGCAATGGAGCTTGCCATGAAGCTTGTTCAGTTAATGATAAGCAAGCTGTCAGGTGAAAAAGTTTATGTTGATCATCCATCAGAGCTATCAATGATGGTAATTCCATTTCTTTTCTAACATTAGTTACTTCAATTTTAATATTGAATACCTATTTATCTTTATGATTTATATACCTCTTGTCTCCTGTTTATTCCAGGTGGCTGCAATAGCAAAGCAATTTGCTCTGCTACACAATGCTTTGAAGTTTGAGGCACTTCACCTCCTCGTTGCTATATTGTCCTCAAATTATTCGGTAGGGAGTTCTATGTAAATCTGGGAAGTTTATATTAGTTATATTTAAATAGGTATTTCCAACAAATAGGACATATTGCTCATTGATGAAATTAGTGTGTGTTTTCTTGCCATCTGGAAGCATAGAATTTCTGACCTGTAAATGCTTCTATCATTGTTCTGTCATTTGAACTTCTAGAACATTTCCTTGAGTCGATGTGCAAGACCCATCATACAGTGCTTAGGAAAAAAATAGTTTAACCATTATCCTTGTGTTGTACATCAAAATGATGCCAAAACTCACGAGCTTCACATTTCCCTAGATATTGGAATTTATAAACTTATCTCAAGGCATTTAGAATTTCCCTTGGGTAGATATCTAATGGTATGTTGCATATTAACATATATGCATGCCCTGGAAGGACTTGAAATTGCCTTTTGGGTCTCCTACCACTTTTCTCTAAGTAATTATACTAATATGGCTTATGCGCTGAATATATGATTCGATTTATGATATCCATTGAATACTGTTCTGCTCATGTCCAACTTGTAAAATGACGATTATTTACATTCTGTACGATGTAAGAATTACTTGTTTACATAAAAGAAGTGATCTCAATCGAAAATCAAGACAAAAAGCGTCATTATCTCTGGTATGGATTTTCCTCAGCGTGTAAAGAAATGAGTTACAGAGTTAGGTCTGCTAATTCATTTGCAGGCCTGATTAAATGCGAACTTAGTAAATGCAGCTATGAAATATTTTCTCGTACCTTTTTTGGAACTTATCGTGGCTTCTCTATCTGATCTTTAGGGAGCTCTGCATGCTGTGCTTCGGTCAATGGAATGCAGCGACTGGTTAACTTGCATTCGGATTGGTGTAATTGATGTTTTACAGAATCGAGTTGGTATGTTCACCTTAAAACAAGCATTTATGAGTTGCAGAATGTAAAGGCTATAGATATTTTTAATATTGTTTGAAACTATCATAAAATTGCAAATGATGTACAGGCTCTCAGCAAATTCTTGATGGCAGATACTTCTCTTTGTAGAGTCAAACATTCCTCCTGTCCTTAGGCCATTTTCTTGGCACGTCTTATAAAGATCTGTGCACTGTGTATGTATTTTTGAGGAAGCTCCTGTTTTGTGCAGCTCCTGCTGATAAATTTCAGGCTCTTATTCTTGTTGAGTGCGTCCTATCAATTGTTGGAGAAGAATGGCTAATTGGACCAACCACCTTCCTTGATGCACGTAGTTCGTTCCCTGCTGACAGGTGAGTATGAAAGTGAGTCTTGATCTTCGGTTTTCCCCTCGCATCTGCTTTTTTAATACGTCGATCCCTCCAGATGTATACTGCTGGTTTTGGAGACTTCGAGGGTGGAAATTGCTGTTGTCCTAAATGAGCTTGCATATTTAAAGTATGAAACCTCTGAGAATTCTTCACGGAGTGCTGAAGCCTTTAAACTTCGAAAACTGGGCATTGCGTTCTCTTTGATAGAGAAGATTATTAAACTGCTCTCAAACCTTGAAAGCGACGGTAGGTGTCCATAAATTGGTCCAATATGTCTGTTGTTACTTGTTACCCCAATGTGTTTTCTTTTATTTCAATATGCCTTTTCTTTTACTCAATATTAAAATAAACGATTTCCATATGTTGTCGGTTTCATTCTGTTCAACACATAAGTTCTTAGGAGATTTTTGTAGACAATTTGTTCAATCAAAGAGGGATTTCCTGGGTAGTTTATTGTACTATATGTTCTATGGCTGATGGCTTTTTGAGATATATTAAGCTCTTGCTTAGGCATTCAGCCGTACATTAGGAACTCTGATCCTGGTTATGAAATATCTATTATGAATAGCTGTGGAAGTGATTTTCTTTTGAAATTTTATTTCATAAAATAAGTACTATTCAGGCATTTGCTGAGTATGACAATTGTTTGCAGAATCAAATATAGCTTCCTTGATAAGCGAGAGCACCTCAACTAAGATTATCACCGGGCTCAATGAAACAATTGGTCTGGTCCTTGACTATCTGCAAGATGCCAAGGTAATGTACCTGTCTAAAGCTGTAAAGTTGTAGTTGTACCCTGTTTACTTCAGAGTTCGTGTTTTCTGTAGGATCATGGGGTCCGAAAGGGGGATGACCTTTTAGCTTCTGTCAGAATAGTTGGGAGGTATATGTTTCACTTCTTGTCCTTCTTATTTATTTTTCTACAGTTAGATGTAAGTAATTTATCTTTTATTATAATCTTTCTCATTATTCTATCGAGGATTCTAAACCATATATCATCCCTTTCTTAGATAATTTTAAATTTCCTGTATAATGCGCATTTCTACTATTTGAAGATATTCCAAGTAAAAGAGATGGCATTTTAAGTAAGTGTTCTGGGGATGTAGGAATATGTGTGAAGCTGTTCATAGTTTCCGATTGTCACTGTACTTTTGTTTCAGCTATCTTGCAGAAGCTCCTTGTGCATGCAGAGAGAAGATTAAGGAACTTCTTGGTTATTTGCTATCTGTTGAAGAAGAAGATGAGTCAAGGTTTCACACAACCCATTTCACTTGATTTAAATGTTCCTGGGCCTTCCACTTTCGCATAATATGGACTAACTATGTTTCCCATTGGCAGCTCTTCGTGCTCTGTGACCTTTTTGCTCCCTATGCTGTGTCAAATAACTATGGATGATGATGGATGCAAATTATTCGACTCCAATGGAGCTTTTGGAGCTGTAAGATTTTCATTCTGGTTATCAAATTTTTGGTTTGTTGTTTTTATATATAACATGAACCCAAAAAAACAGTACAAGATATGATCTACCACTCTACCTCCATTGAGAGCATTGCATGTGAGCTTTCAAATTTTCATGGCAGGTTGTTGATTGCCTTATTTCGTTAATTCAATCCAGCCGCTCGGGATCTGAGAATGGTGGTACCATATACTTGGCATGCGATACAATTTTGAATTTCCTTTTAAAGGTACTGTCTTATTGCTGCACTTTGAGCATAAAAGGATATATACATGTATTGTGAATCACAATTCTCCTTCTTTTGTTTAATAGAGAGAGCAACTACATTTTTACTTGGACAATCGTACTACTGCCAAACTTTTGCTGGCGTTGCCATGCTGGACAGGTATGCCTGTCTACTTTGGTATCTTGAACTGAGCTGCTTTCTTTCTAAAATTGGTTAGTCTAAAATTTCTTTACGAAAAAATTCTTTTTCATTTATTGTCATGATTATATATAGAGTCTGCAAGTGATCCATCTGTGATTATGATGGCGTCAAGCATTTGCTCGTTAGTGCTTGGTTCGACTTCTGAGGAATTTCTTCTTCGCCACCCAGAGTTTAATAGTGATAATCTGAATGCTCTAGCAAAGCTAATAAAGAGAAGCTTGGTAACCAGTAGTCAGGTAATTTTATATGAGGTATATATTTTAGTTAAAATGGATTCCAGTCCAGAAAGGGTTCCCCCTTGGCCCTTCCTACTTTTCCTCACTTTAAGCCATTATGCCAACTTTTTATTTTTTTATTTTTTTTATTAATCTATATATTTATTTATTTCAACATTCCATATGGTGATGTTAGTTACATTATCCTCTTTCATATGCAAAACAGGATCCTATGCACGATGATAGCAACTCAGAGGCTGGTCAAGCTGATCTTCATCAGATAGTTATCTCAGGTAGCAAAGAACTCTTTTTTCACTCTGTCGTGTGCTCCTTTAAATCGTTTGCTATCGGAATTTAGTTAAAATGGCTCCCACACGATGATAGATACGTAATGTGAATGGATTTGCAGGATATTCTTCTTGGTCAGATCGGTTTCCCCTTATCAAACAAGCGGTCGAGGGATGAGCCATTTGCTGAGAATTCATCTTGTTGTGTTCTAGTCTTTTTGTTTTCTTTAAAATTAGTTTCTTTTTATTTATTTATTTGTTTTTTTTTTNGTACATTTTTGTATATTCATAATATATGTGGAATTCAAACTTTTGTGTGAGTTGGTCGAACTGTTAGACATCTAAATCTATCATACTTACAAAAAAAATACATATTTATACTACTAAATTTAATGTCATACGTTTAGTCATGTTGTTTTTTGAATTATGACATTTTTAAATTTAAGATATGTATATTTGTAAAAGAAGTATATCGTCAAAAGTAAAGATGATGATTGGCTTTGTTGGTATTGTGTCCCTCTCTCATTGTGAGGAATCTGATTGTATTCAATTGAAAAATATGTTTGCTTGACAATTCAATAAGATTCTGTATCAAAGCTACCCCCCAAGAAATTGCCAAATCTCAAATTAAGAAAGAATCGTTCTGCATCTTATCTCAGTTTGACAATAAGATATATGCCACAATTAGAATGTCATATTCCAGATAGAGTTGAATAGGAGCAACCATTACAACATCTTAATTGGATAATAAAATCTTAATTTGACAATAGAGGATTAGGGCCGGTTGTACTATCGACTAATTTTCAACTTGTTGAACTAAAAAAGTATGCTCCTTACCATCAACCATAGTTCGGCAGTCTAAACATTGTTATTTGCCTCGACCATAGCTGCAATTAGTTAAATATAATTACAAAATTTTTTGATGTGGCTGTCTAACTGTGAGGCGACTCTCATATCTTTTTAGAAAAAAAATGCATACTCATTATGAAATATCATATATTTATTTATATTATTTTTTAAAATATGATATCTCAGTTTATAGTTATACATATTTGTTAGAAGTATGACAACTTAATAGAAGTACACTGCCAATTCAGTAGTCCATGTTAGATAATCAAAGGTTCAACTTTGGATACATAGCCTTACTTCGATAATCCATAGTTGTAATGAGCCGTACGTACAATCCAATAACTCATGTTGCTGGATAGTCACAAAAGCTGAAGTTTGATGCTTAGTTGCTTACATGAATATGTAATGTGATAACGGGGAAAAGATTATTATATGAACAGTACAGAGGAGAGTGGTTGTACTATTATTGTTATTATCAATTATTCATTTCAAATCTTGATTCACCATATCTTGCCTTTGTAAAATACATTTTTTTTTTATAAAATATATATTATCGTAAAATATATATCTAATTCGTAGGGAAAAACCCAAAACGCGTGTAATGGATTACTTTTTACGAAATGAAAATAAACATAAACCATTTAAAAAATTATAAATAAAGACATGTTTTTGTATTGCAAATTTAGTTAACCTCCTCATTCGGGCACCGTAAACTGTCCGGCTGGAGTAAAAGTTAAAACTTAAAAACACTTGGCTTTCATGTTCTAAAAGAAAAATATGGCTCATTATTAGAATATGCTATTGTTCTACTATTAGTAAAAAAATTTCCAAGCTCAATAAATACTAATTATTTTGCTTAAACTTTTGACAATTTAACAAACACATAGCCAGACAAAAGTCCAACATGAACTTAATGAAGCTAGCATGACACCGACTAACTAATTTAGGCACTGTTTCGTAAAATTAGCTGAAAATTTAACTTATAGTTTATAGGCGAATCTCGAGCTTATAACTTATAGTTTATGGCTGATGGATGAAAAACTAATTGTTATAATAAAAGTATTAGCTAATAAGTCAGTTGAAATAAAAAGTTTCGACGACTTTTTTAAAATCCAACTTATTAAAATAAAATAATCTCCAACTTTTTAAGCAAATTTATAAAATAATTAAATAAGTTATAAGCTAGTTTGAGTCATATTCTAAAACTAAAAGAAACACGTGTATTAATTAGGTTAGGCATGTACAAATTTGGATGATGAAATTGGGCTAGCTGAATTTGCAACACATAAAAAGGATTGTAAGGTTTAAAATTTTATTTCTATTTTTTTCGATAGGATTATATAAAAAAAAAAAACTCATATTTACATTTAGACAACAATTATAATAGTCAAACAACCACACTGTTGAATTTAGTGGGAGGACAACCCGAAGAGAAGCCTAGACTACCACAAAACACCCACGATAATACAAAACTCCACTAGTGGAGAATACAACTCTCATTCCCAGCAGCAGAATAGTTATTTCCAATTTCATACTTCATTAAATTGTAAACATTTAAAAAAAAGTGTGAAAGTTAACCCACCTATCAAATTCGAATATTTGGAGATTAAGCAATTGAAAACTAGTTTTATGATATTCCTAAGGTATGTTTGGTTCAACAGAGGGAACGGAAGGGAAAGAATTTTAATGGAGGGGAGATAAGGGAAGGGGAGTGATATATAGGATATAGTATCGACTCGAACCTCTCAAAGAAACCAAGCAACCAGGCCGGGTTAAGGAAGCAGCTCAACTCACGTCGACCAGGAAATAATAGCAGAACCGACGTTTGACCTGACCTTGGAGACCAAGAGGTCGAATCGACCACGTTCTACCTAACTGATAGATGAGCCGAAGAGAACCACGTTCTACCAAGACAGAAATTCGACCTGGTGATGTGGACTGGGTCTCGTAGGGGACAAAAAGGTATATGTCTGGGAAACCACACTGTACGAGGATTGGACCACGCGTTACGATCAGATTGGGTCGTTTGCACCCCTGACACCTGACATCTGGGGCGCTGCAGGTTGTACAGACGGGCAGCCGGGTCAACTTTCTGGACAGGCTTGGAGAATATGACACCACCCCCTATATAAGGGGATGTAGTAGGTTAGTTTTAGGGTTATATTCTCTACACATTCCTATATACTTATTCACCATTCATCACCTTGTATCGGTACTGACTTAGGCATCCGAGGCTCTTCACCCGGAAATTCCCCCTTCAGGCATCGAGTTCTTGAAGGTGTGAAAGTCGTTCGAGGTAGAAGAAGAAGTCGTTGAGGCCGAAGAAGCCGTTTTCTCACTGTAGAAGTTCGAGTGAAGAGCGGGTGAAGTCCATTTCATATTAGGGAGGTAATGTAAAATAATTTTACCTTAATTGGAAGGATTTTGTTAAAGGAGAGTTGGTGGAAAATAGTAAACCTTGTTTGGTTAAAAAAATAATAATAAAAGAGTAGGAAAAATAATGTTACAATTACAAATATATCATTAATGATGTTATAAATAAAAACTAAAATATTATATATAATAAGGATAAAATTATATCTGAATGCATTAAAATTTTCCATCTCTTCCAAATTCCCGTATTTGGGGGGAAGGGAATGAGGAGGAGAAAACATTTTAAGTTAAATTATTCCCTCTCTTCCTATTTAAATTTTCCAACCAAACAAGGAAAACATAAAAAAAATCTCTCATCTCCCTTCTTTTTTCCTCCAACCAACAATACGTTAGGAAAATATTTGAAATATGATTTTTTTTTATTAGAGGTTCCAATTTAATGAATTGTAGTCTTATTATTTCAAATTCAATCACATTTGATCCACAACTTCAGAAATTTGTTAAAAGCTAATGACTACCACTCCCCCTTGATAGTGATATCTAATTGGAACTTTTGACTTTTGGATGGATTGTATATTAATCGATATTCAATTAAACGGGTTCTCCAATTACGTCAAAAATTCATTCTCGTTAAGATAGACAATTTTGCGATCTACACGTTTAATTTCATCACATGGATATCCTGAATTTTGTTAAATTGTTGTCTGTGTATTCAAATGCGTCTTGTAATTTGATGGAACACTACCAAAAGTAATACCATACCAGCCATATATTTTATATCACAATATAGAAAAATACTACAAGTACATAATAAGTGTACATAATACTCATATAGAGTGAGGTCTACTTAATTTTTTATTTTTGTAGGACCCACTTAATGTGAGTGTTATGTACACCTCTATGTACACTATTATGTACTTGTAGAATTTCTCCACAATATATATTTCTAATTATTTTATAAAATTTTGGACTTAATTTCTAGAACCAAACTATCAAGTTGGAATAGTGGATGTAAAAATAAAATGATACTTTGGCTAAGAGAGAGGGCGAGAGTTATTTACTATGTTTGCTAAACCTAGCTGATAAGCTAGCTGACATCTTATAAGCTAACTATCAGTTGATAAGCGAATTTCTTGTAGCTATCTCTTATGACTTATGACTGAAAAGCTAACTTATATAATAAATATGTTTGATAAACTTATCTGATAAGCCAGCTGAAATAAATATTTTAACGAGTTTCTTTGAAAAGCTACCCAAAGAATCTTATGGATGTGTGTGGTAGCGTATAAGCTAGCTTATGGCTGTGTTCGGTAAGCATATAAGTTAACCTATAACTTACTTGATTAACTTATAAGCATCTTGTATTCAAATAAACTTGCCTTGGTAAGACGAGTTTTTATGAAAAGGTTGAGCTTATGTCATAAGCTTTTTTGTGTAACTTTTCAAATACATCCATTGAAAATTTTATTTCAGCTAGCTTATCAGTTAATTTTATCAGACACATTTATCATATAAACTAGTTTTTCAGCCATATATCATAAACTATCAATTATAAACTCAAAATTCACATAAAAACTATTAGCTAACTTATCAGCTATAAACTAGTTTATCAGTTAGGTTTACCAAGCATAGCATATAGCTTATTTCATTAGCTTATAAGCTTCTTGAATTCAAACAAGTTTGGTTTAGTAGGACGAGCTTTTTAAAAAGCTCGAGGCTATCTTATAAGCTTTTCAAATAAGCCTATTGAAATTTTTATATCAGCTTATCAACTAGTTTTACCAACACTTTTATCATAAGCTAATTTTTCAATTATTAAGTCATAAATTTGTCCTACCAAACCCACCAAACCAAGCTTAGAGCATCTCCAATGTGACTTTTGACATTATAAAAAATCATCAATATCATCAACTTTTGAGAGTGTCTTACTAATTTTATTCTCCAATGCATCTTGTCATGAACTCTTTCATGATGAGGTGGATGACATTTAATGTTAACAATGTTGAACCCACATTCTAATATCTACCACCATGTTAAATATGATGACTCATCAATTCACTTTAATTTTGATTTAATTTTTTATTATTCTTGTATCAATGAATTATTTTAATTGGTCCACCTATATAAATAACTTCTTATCAAAGTTATGCATTGGAGATATTAGTTTGATTGAAATTTTCAATCTTTTAACATTATTCCTATGTGGATTAACATTACAATCATTAATTGACATGTGTTAAAAATCATGTTTTTCAAAGCTATAGCATTGGAGATGCTCTTAGAGATCTTCAATGCATTGCGTCTAGTCTTGCCTATGTGGCAATTGTTTTTCAAAGCTATAGCATTGGAGATGCTCTTAGAGCATCTTCAGTGCATTGGGTCTAGTCTTGCCTATGTGGCAAGTAAATAAACTCAAGTCTTAGATGACATGGATAAAAATGTAAAATTAATAAAATCCACTCCAATGCAAAGAGACTAGGTCTCTACTTCGGTCTAAAATAGACTTAAGGGAAGACCCGGTCTCTTTTTCTGGCTGCCACATCAGCAGGAGGACCGAATCTATTTCTATTTGCATTGAAGAATATATTTTTTTTTTGGATTGAATCTATTTCTTATGTGGTATGTAATTTTTTGGGATTGAACCAAAACATTGTGCATGCCCACATTAGTCAACTCTTGAACAGCAATAATAATTATACTATAAATTCGATTTATTTCTCCGAGCACCACCACAGGCCGCCGGCAGCCACCGCCTCACCAATATAAATAGCAAAATCCCACCACACTCATATGCACACTCCTCCCGGAGAGTGGACAAAACATTCGCCGGCCGCCTTCAAACCTACCGTCTGAAAGCCGCCCGCCGCCATCCATGGGCTGGGGGAACGTGTTCTTCACCCTGGTGGTCACCTTCTCGGCGGCGCTCATCACTTACAACATCATCATATCCGCCAACGCCTCCCTCAAGGGGGACTTCCCCGGCCCCTCCTCGTCGGAGAAATCGGCTCCATCCTCCCCCTCCACGGTGGACCGCATCATTCGATTGCCGCGCTCCGCCGGCGGGAAGAAGAGGCTCTTCCACACCGCCGTCACCGCCTCCGACTCGATCTACAACACGTGGCAGTGCCGGGTGATGTACTACTGGTTCAAGAAGCAGAAGGCCATGAATCCCGACTCCGAGATGGGGGGTTTCACTAGGGTTCTGCACTCCGGGAAGCCGGACGGATTCATGGACGAGATCCCCACCTTCGTCGCTCAGCCCCTGCCAGATGGGATGGACCAGGTCGTTGGTTAATTTGTCTCAAATTACAATTCTCCGTCCATTTTTATGATTTTGTTGATTGATTGTGGTGGAATTTTATTGCATTTACATAGCCCCATGCTCATCAAATCAAACAGCCTGCTACAGTTATATTTTGGGTCTAAAACATCAATGTTCTTATAGCAGGGGTACATAGTCCTGAACAGACCATGGGCATTTGTGCAGTGGCTTCAGCAAGCCAAGATTGAGGAAGAGTAAGCATAAAAATTAAAAAGGCATGCTTTATGTTGGTTGCTCGGCTTTTTGATATCACGATGAAATTACTTATCTGGTGCTTGTTTGATTCTCTATGTAGCTACATATTCATGTCTGAGCCAGACCACATTCTGGTCAAGCCCATCCCAAATTTATCCAGAGATGGGCTGGGAGCTGCATTCCCTTTCTTCTACATTGAGCCTAAGAAATATGAAAATGTGCTGCGAAAATTCTTCCCCGAGGAAGATGGGCCGATAACTAAAATTGATCCCATTGGAAATTCTCCTGTGATTGTGGGGAAGGTAACTATTGGTGATTATGAAGCTATCTGACATTATCTTTGTTCTGTTTCTTGTTTCT